TCTGATGCATGGAAATTGCGTGTCTAAATATTGACAGTATGAAAATTGATTAAAATACCGGGGAAATAATAAAGTTTGTTTTAGCTTATAACCAGTCCCGGTATAGTTTAAAGCAGTTTGGCTGGTGTTAGATGCCCGCGACGTGGCCTTTGGATATTTAATTACTGCAGATCAATCGGCGCGCTATCGATCCGAAGTTCGTCCGCCCTCCCTGTCAATATGAAATTTCCCCGTTCGACCAAATAAACGAGCGGTTAACGAAAACGCACATACGGTCGGGTATTGAAAATCCTACGTGCCGCGTATACCGTATATCGCGAATCTCTTTTATCGTTTTCGTGCGAGTCTGAAAATAATTTCTACGAATCGTCTGTATGCTTCGTCGATACGAATACCGGCACGAATAAAAGCGAATGATCTTTTTGGCTCGACTGGTCCAAAGGTAGAAATCGATAACTTTTTTATCCGCGTGTGGAATTTCTAACGCAGTTAGCAAACAGTAGCACCGAGTGTCCATGAATAGTAATAACAACGGGTAATTGTTACTATAACGCGATGGTAATAGTAACAGATAGTAATAATAAGTAGCAATAACGATAATAAAATCAGCCACGGTCTGCCTCATTAACGTTTGCAGAGCTTGCACGTTTGCCAAGTAGTTTAAACGACGCTATGTCCCGCCCTTTTTGATCGTACAGACATACGTCTCCTAAGCGACACACGCAAATACGCACGCATGTTCCTCATAATAACTAATAAATTCTGCAATTTATCATGCCGGGACGTCCATTACCTCTCTCTGCGCCCTCGTTCTATGCACGTGCACGGAGTCGTGTGGTCGTGATCGTCGCGCAAACTCCCGGTGCGTCGCCAAAGCGGCGGAAAACTTGCCTTCCAGAAGGAAAATTGCAACGTTAATCGCGGTTATTTTCCACTTCCCTTTTTCGGTACGTGCGTGACGCATACGCATCCTTTCGATTCGTTACGCTTCGGTAAATTAAGCAGCTCGCAGCTAATCGCGGCGCGCCCGCCATGACAGGCCCGTTGTATGAAATACAGCGGGGAAAACAGCGATTACACGTTCGAAGAATTTTCATGCCGTGTACGACCGATTCTGTTAGTTCTCACGAGCCTCGAACTCCTCGCGAGCCAACTCCCGCCACTTGAAAGTTATAAGAATGAGATTGCAAAAATGACTCGACGATAATCACGGGCTCGGCGTTTCATTTTGTTTCGAGGACCGTAGGATGCTAATAGAAATATGTCTGGAGCGTGTTCCCACGCGAAGCGTGCTCGAGTTGATTGCTACGGTGGCCAGGTCGCGTTTACGAGTTCGCTCCAGGTATGAAATTATACTCGTGACGTAATTAGTATGGACTCGTACGAGCGTGTCGTTCGAAAATGACGCTTGACCCCCCTGGATTCCCATCATTTATGCCGATCGAGCCAATGCAATTACGCGATTACATCGGGCGAAATTAGTTGTAGTGAAGTGACGCGGTTCTATCCTGGTTACGCAATATCACGTTCCAAAACTGCAAGACCTATGCAGATCGCGAGATGGAGAGGTTTCGTCACGGTCTCGTTGAAAGGTGCAATATCTACGCAGCGCCACCCGGGAGGATTGCGGAGCGCAGGACAACTAAAGACGGTGGGACCCATTACCATTTCTCCAACGTAATTAACAAATATTCGGGAGTTAATGATTACAATAACGATTTTACGTTCGGGTAATGGTAAAATAAAGACTTGTAGATACTTTCTACGCTTGTTACCTCGAAATTTAGTATGTCCTGAAATTTACTTCTTTAACTTTACTTTGTACGAAACTGTGAACTCCTCAGGTTACGATTTACAAAACGAATCTTTCACTTTACACGTTATAATCTGTGAAGAAAATCGAATGCCTCGGCTAGTGCAATTACGATATATTCGTGTATTCATTTTTTCTGAAACGCGGAGATAACTAATAATAACTGCTGTACTGTACGTACATCTCTCTCTCAGGCTCTGCCGTCAAATTCGTGACAGGCTTTTCTCACATGACGAATGTGTGGAAAACAGGGATCTATTTTTAAGTTCGAGTCGAAGTACATTCCGCGCGAAAATCGCGATTAAGAATAGAAAATCCGCACGGTCTTTTGAGAAGAGATCGGTTCCTTGGGTCCCCTGTTTTCCCTGATCGGTTCTATTTCACGGGAATTTCTATCGATTTTACGCCAATCGAACGAACATCTTTCTCTTCGTCGCTCGACGAAGTACGCTCCTAAAATCTATCGAATCGAGAGCGCTGCAGACGTTCCGTGGAATTCTATAAAAGCTATTTTCTTTCTTTTTCTTTTTTTTTTTCGAAATGGAAATGAAACGTTGGACCGCGGTGAAATAGATTTTCCCTTGAAATTGGTAATCGAGTGAAACCGGTGGCTTATCGGTTTTGTTGGTTTCCCAGCTGCTGCGACGAGCTTCGCTCGCGTTTTTCCGCTCGGCACTAATCTCGTTTCTACCGCGAGTTCCACTTGCCCGACTATTGAATTGCGCAGCGACCTTAAAGACGAAGCGATTTTCGCGAGAACTTCTTCTCCGTGCATTTCGTCATAATTCACAGATCTCCGGCGCAGATTCTTTCTTCGGGATTTTGCCGAAAAGTCGCTGGATTAAGTTGCCGGAGGTGAGGAAGGGGCGAGTGTAAGGACAGGATGAATGCGAGGTGTGGGAATCGGATGAATGAAATCATTCTGCCGTTCGAAACGTGATCGCGGCTAGACGTCAGCTGAAGGCCCAATTACGCGAACGTTTGGTTATCGATGTTAAACAGCCACGTTCCATTTTCTGACGTCCGTTGCGTCAGGAGCACGTAACGCGTGTGCGGTCAGTCCTGCAATGGGTCTTTATATCGCTCACGTGCTGCAGAATGTGTTCGAATCAACGGTCGTTTAATCCCGGCTAGCCTTAAATCTATCATGCCATTGTACCGTAATAATCTTTTGTCGAGGCGCTGGAAAGCAGCACTGGAACTGGTATCCGTCGTGTTTACGGCAAATCGTTGGTCCCTGTGACGATTCGTTTCTATTTCTGTTCTATTTCCATTCCTCTAACAGTCTAGTCTAACAGAGAGCCGAATCGAGATCGCTAAACATCTCGCAAGGCCCTTTGGACGTTGTTCATTCCGAACAGTCGAGGAAAAATGACTTCCGTTTCCTGGGAAGGCGAATATACATGGTTGCGACAGTATCCTTGCACGAATCGCAACGTATACAGAGCCTGCATATGCGTTCATATGGTGCAACGAGCAGAGATCGTTCCTTAGATCGCGTTAGGAGCTACACGAGCGTCGATTGAAATTGACATCCATTTGTCAAGACCCGTCTAGTCTGTGCTCGACGCTCGCCACAGTTGCTGGGCTCGTTGCTGAAAAGCTGCTGTTCTCTCTGTCTTCGCGTTCGATCCGTCACTTCGTCTACTATCGGATACGGAAACAGTGAGATCTGGAAGAAGACGGACGTTCGATCTTCTCGCTGTCGGGGATTGGTCGACGATCGAAACATGCCGTCGCGAATTCGTGGAACGTGAAATCAGCGAGAACGAGACTCCACGAGAATCGAATCATCCGGAGATTTCGAGGAAGTGTTCGTTTTAAAAACCGACCAGGTTGCTGCTTCTCGCGATTAGATTATCCATCGCGCTGGCTCAGCGAGTTCCTCGCGGATAGGACAAGAAACGTGGAAACACCTGCGGGAACGGAAAGCTTCGGAGCATCGAGTATGGCGAAGGTGAAGACACCAATTTCCACTTTTTATTGGCACATCATCCTACGAGCTAATAAACAAATGACTCATCGATTGCGATAAGCTCGAGAGCTTAATGTCGCGTTGTCGTGGTTGATTTATCATAGCGACTCATCGGCCTTTTCCCCGTATCGAATCGCGATACTTACAAAATCATCGGAGTTTCAGGCTTGATCGGCTTTCGTCATCGATAGTCACGAGCACGTCTTTCGGATTATCGGCCGATTATTTAACGCGCGTTTCAGCGCTGCCAATGCTATTAGCCGAGGCTTTCTCCAGACTTGGAAGCCTTCTTAGACGATCGATTTCGGTAAGCTTCCTAAGTCTGGCAAGGCCTCTTAGGAACTTTGCGAGTTTCCAATTGCGCTGTGACGATAACGTTTCAATGAACCCCGAAGCGCCGTCATCGAATTGCTTAGCGATTTTTCAACATCGGAAAGTTGGAGTTCTATGTTGGACGGTAATAAAGATCACGTGGAAAGTTTGTCCAGTTCTATTCGTTCTCGTGGAAAAAATGTTTCGCGAAGAGGGGGCGAAATAAACGTATCCTCGGTATTCTCTCGCGATGCCATACTCTCTCCGCCTGCTATCTCTGCTCGTTTTCTTTGACGATGGGTTGATCAAAGAGCCATTTTACGCGCGCATACGTGCGTCGTTCTCAAAGAACGATGACGAACGTCCTTTTTGGCGTGCATTACGGTATGCAGCGGCTTTGTCGATTCACAATGCGTGCAAGTTGCGTGTTCGTGCATAGGGGAATGCCAGTGCCGTACGAAAGCGCCAGGACATGAAAAACGCGGCCATGTTTCTGCTGAAAATTTGCCAACGCCGAGCCCCAGTTTCCGGAAAACAAGGAGAGAAATATTAGGATAGAAGTTTACGAAGCTTTGAAATAACTTTTGGAATTATAAAATAGAGCGCGGTTCGCGGAAGAGCTTCTTCGACCGGTGGTACTCGTAAATTGAAAGGAAACGTCGGGTTATAGGAGCAGAGAGAGCGTAGAAAAGTTTAATTTAAGGGAAAAAGCGTGCTTCGGTTCACCGTTTGAAAAATTCATGTAAATTCGAAAGTTTCCACGAGTGAAGGAAACGCGAGATTTACAACCCTGCCTCTAGGGTACTTTCTTACCGAGCGTTACTCGAACGAGGCTATAAAATAACTAAAGCTGCAACGCGGAAATTTCGCCTACCTAATACGTGATTTTCTCTTTTGCAGTGGGATAGTTCGGAATCCGAATATTCGGAGCCTGAGGACTCAAATGAGTTACGGGCCATAGTTAGCCCCGAGATCTGCGCGATGGACACTGTGGACAGTGCCAGCAAACGGCAAACTCGTGTCTTCAAGAAGTCCAGTCTCAATGGGAAGATCACGGTATACATTGGGAAAAGAGATTTCGTGGATCACATAACTCACGTCGATCCTATCGGTAAGACACAGAGCCTCGAGTGGTAGAGCTTCGGAGCGTCTACGTTGTTCCTTCGTCGTACCTGATTACCTTCATTAGCCATCTACCTGTTGAATCAAAGCGTTCGGTGTTCTTTCTCGCTCGAACGTGGAACTCTGTTCCAAGTAGAGAAACATCGGTACGTTTAGCGGGTTGCTCCACCTCTCGAAGGTTAATCCAATTATTCCAGTGCAGCTATTTAACAGCGAAATATCGTTAACGCAGCCTGAAAGGCTGCTAACGGCGTGGATTGGAAAATTCGATTTACTTAAACGACCAGTTAATCTTGAACGTCAAGGCCACTTAAGCCTGTGCTCACCGATCGCTGTTCGATCGTTACAGACGGGGTCGTGCTGATTGACCCAGACTACGTGAAGGATCGCAAGGTCTTTGGCCACGTTCTGGCCGCGTTCAAGTACGGCAGGGAAGACCTGGACGTTCTCGGGTTGACGTTTCACAAGAACCTCTACTTGGCCGCGGAACAAATTTATCCCGTGGTACCTGGCGTCCAGCAGAGGAACCTGACGCGGTTGCAGGAGAAACTGATCAAGAAGCTGGGAAGCAATGCGTATCCCTTCTACTTCGAACTTCCGCCACACTGTCCAGCATCGGTGACGTTGCAAACGGCACCGGGTGACTCCGGGAAACCATGCGGCATCGACTACGAATTAAAAACATTCGTAGGTGAGACGCCGGACGACAAACCGCAGAAACGGTACGAGCCTCGTGAGGGGAACATTTGCGACCACGCGATTCCTCTGGCCCCTGCTTCTAATCGATTTTCAGCCGACATGGAACTGACCGTCGACGTGCTCGTTTCCTTTAACCCTTTTGCCGTGGAACGTTTCAACGGACGGGAATATCTCGTGAATATCTTTCGCGAGCTATTCCTTTTCGCTGCCTTTCCCAGAGAAATGCATTCCCGACGTGTCCTTTCGATAGAGCTGCTACCTTGCCGGCAGCAAGTATCGTACCACTGGCTTTCGCGCGATAGGAGAAAGCCGGGGCTTTTTCCGGCTCGTAGTAAAAATCGAGGAATTTCTCAGTCGACTCGAACATAGCGAAAGGGTTAGCGTATTAATAAATGTCGTTGCACGTTTCGTTGCCACGCGCGAGAGAGTTTTCGAGATCGTGTCGTTTATTGTCCACGAGACTCGATACATAGAATGTCGCAGCGTGGGCTAACGGTTTGCAAGCCGGTTGACGGCGATAAATCACCGTGTTGCAGAAACTCGGTGCGGCTGGCGATCCGGAAGATCATGTACGCGCCGTCGAAGCAAGGCAAACAGCCTTCCGTCGAGGTGAGCAAAGAGTTCGTGATGTCGCCGAACAAGCTCCACCTGGAGGTGTCGCTGGACAAGGAGTTGTACTATCACGGCGAGAATATCGCCGTGAACGTGCACATAGGTAACAACAGCAACCGGACAGTGAAAAAAATCAAAGTGTCCGTGAGGCAATTCGCGGACATTTGTCTGTTCTCCACCGCCCAGTACAAGTGCACGGTCGCCGAGGTAGAGAGCGAGTGAGTATCATTCATTGCACGCCATTCTTCTCCACGAACACGCGTCGGGATATGAAACATGCTCGCCGTGAAGGTACTGCAACAAATGGATCCATACGCGACGTTGTCATGAACGAAAGTTGCGACATAGTCGGGGCTACGGTTGCATCGGTGGTCCCTTTGTTTCCACCGATGAAACATTCCCGTCATTTTGTATCTCGTTGCGACACGGGAGACCATTCGTAGGGTCATAAAATGCCATAAAATCTGGATTTATTCGCCCGTAAATTTACACTCGTATCCCCAATCTATTTGTTGCTAAACTTTCACTCGAGTCCCCCGGAAATGTTCCTTAACGCGAAATCCGCGCGATCGTAATAGTCGAATAGTAGATTCTTGTTCGCGAGCGGGAGTCTCGTGTTTGGTCACGATTGATCCATCAACGTCGATGGATCGTTCGAAAACGTTTTGTATTTCGAGCTGTTCGATATCCTTAAATAGCCACCAGATGCTCTGTTCACCCTGGTATAGTGGTCGCGGTGAAATTTACGAGTAACACATTCTGCGGCGTGACCAGCCACGAGTTACTCAAGATCTATCGACGCGGACGCAAGTAGACGTAAATTGCGATTCGTTGCAATAAATTTCAACGTAACGCGACAATTTCACGATCCGTATCAACGACGTCTTGTACTGGTTTCTGCGCGTCCCTTATCGGACGCAATTTTTCGCGGCTTTGGTAAAAAAAAAACGAACCTACGAGAATTCACTCGGACGCCTGTCTTTCCTCGGGAATGATCGATAGTAGAACTCGAGGCACAACTACCGGTAAACGTAAAAGAAAGAAGGCGCACAGTCTAAGACTGTCTGAATTAATAACGACGCTAGGTGCGTACGTAATGCCGATAAGGCGATAAATGCTGAAAGGAATTGTAACACGATGAAACGGAAAATAAAATGATTGCACTGGCAGTATAGGGGTATCGCCAGGATTCACTCTGAGCAAGGTCTTTTCTCTAAGGCCGACGCTTGCTGACAACAAAGAAAAGCGAGGTCTTGCTCTAGACGGCCAACTTAAGCACGAGGACACCAATCTCGCATCTAGCACAATGTGAGTGCTCAAACATTGGCCGGCTACCATTTTCCTCCGAAACAAACGTTCGTGATCGAAGACTGGAAACGGGCCAAATGATTCTGGAAAACCCACGCGAATAGCTACTCCGAGATTTGTTTCAAAGTTTGGATCACGGGGATCACTTGTTACCGGTCGGGCGGGTAATAGATAGCCCGTAATATTCGTTTCTTTTCGCGGTTCTCCGGCTTTCGAGGGGGTTCGTGTTCATATTCGATAACCGATGCTGGAATTAATTTCCCGGTGAACGGGCAACGTTACAGATCAGGTCTTTCGATACTCGTTTCGATCGAACGAGGCAAACAATCAGAGCCCGTTTGCAGTCTTTGCGGACGATCGTGTTGTTAAGACTCGAAGTCCGATATATTGTATGGGAACACTATTTCAAAGTGGAATGTCAGTATTTCCCTTCATGGCCTTTTTGCTGGGGACTTTCTATGGATATGGAACTCCATCGGTGATGGTCTATATCGTTGTACAGAGGACACGTCCCTTTTTCTCTAACCCGCTCCCAATCTTTCGTTCTCACTTTATTTTCTGTTACCTCCACGTCTGTGTCTTTCCACAATTGATATGCTGATCGATCGAAGTACCCCCGACTCGTTCCTATCTGTCTTTCACTCTTTTTTCTCTCTCTCTCTTGCTCTTCTTCCCCCCTGTATATCCATGTAGTCTGTATTGTAGCGTGACGCACAAGCCGAAGTTTCGCGTTTTATAAAACACAGAGACATGTCACGTGGGTATAGCGAAGATCGTCACAGTCCGCGTGTCACGTAGCTTATTATCGTTGTCCTGTCCCCGTCGAGATTCAACTCGACGCGAGACTCTCGTGACCGAGCTTTCAAATTATGGAATCATTCGCGATATCGAAGCTCGGGGGTGGCACTATATCGGCCTGATGATGCTACACGTCACTGGAGAGCCACGAGAGCCGTTTTTGCGATATTGGAGTACGCCTGGATGTCGCGCACGTAGCCCAGGTTTTATTCCACTTTTTCCCATTTCCGATCGAGACCGTATATCGCGACTTTTTACAGCGGTGGTTTATCTCGGTCTTATTTACGAGTTGCCTGAATTTCCCCGACGCGCTGGAACGGGGCAGGGATAATTTTCGAAGTAGAAACTTCGTAAGGGCTCCTAGGCGTTCTTCGAGGCTCAGTTTCACAGCCATGTCTGCTGCGTAAAATTCGAAACGACCTGTTCGTGTGCCTCGAGCAAACGTCAGACGCGGTGTAACCAAATTTAAATTTCAAATGCAATTATTGCCCGTCACGATTCCAATCAGCCAAACAGGAAGGAACGTGACTCACGGTGTTTCGAAGGAATGTCTAGCAGCGTGATCGATTACATTTCGATAGATTAGATAATAATTCTTATCAGGTACGTCAGCGACCAGGTACCCGAATCGACGCGTCCAATTCTATCCGACTGCCAATAATCACGCGGAACCGAGCGGAACCGAGCGGACCAATTTAGGTGTCTAGGATCGAGTCGACGAACTCGACGAGAATGTCGATACGTAGCGTTGCCTGGAGAACGAGTCGGTGTCATTGTTTGACGGAAGATCGCGAGAGAAAGCGGAAATGCGTAGACCCGAGCTACCTTGCAGAAACCAATTTCGCGCGTGTTTATCGGTGAACTTTATTCCGGAATTTCGATTGATCCGGATATATTAGGCTCCGTGGCACGTTTACCTTCACTCTTCTGCTACATGTTTATCAGGGAGGGGTGCCCAGTGGGGCCAGGTTTCACGCTGAGCAAAGTGTTCTTTCTGAAACCGCTTCTCGCCAACAACAAAAATAAATGCGGGCTTGCCCTCGATGGCCAGATCAAAGACGAGGACACCAATCTGGCGTCCAGCACCCTGTAAGAAAACCGCTGCTTGTCAATGGACAACACACGCCTGAATATATGCGTATATATATTGGCAGGACTGCTCGAAAGTTTGGGTGACGAGACACCCCGGTTTTCTGCTTTCTTGCTCTGAATTCAATTGCAACGTTGTTCGGTCATCCTTCGGTTATCCGAACGTTGGGTTAATTATACCTCGGATCGATATACGTTCTTGGTTTCATTGGATACTGTCTCGTACTACTTGCACGATACCAATGTCCTACCCAAACTTTCGATCGGTACTGAGTGTACGTGCCTCTGTTCCTCTCTCTCTCTCTTTCTTCTCTCTTTCCTTATTTTTATCAGCATCAGCAGAGCTGATCACGCGTGATGGTACTGAGTGTACGTGCCTCTGTTCCTCTCTCTCTCTTTCTTCTCTCTTTCCTTATTTTTATCAGCATCAGCAGAGCTGATCACGCGTGCGATCACGACTTCTCTGTTCACGAGGCTGCGTGTGTCCGAAATCGGCCAAGATCGACAGGTACCAACGATGCTTTTATGAATATTTGATGGAAGGCGTAGAATAAATTAGAGAGCGAAGGACTTGCGTTTCATCTCCAGACTAGTATTCCGATTACCCGGCTTTCAGCGACAGGCATAAAAGGGCTTGGATCCTGTGCCTTTTGTCTTTTTATGTTCCAGACACGACGAGAGTCTCAAATTGAGCAGCTAGACTGCGTTTTAACTGTCGCGTTTTACCTTTCCCTTTGAAGCTCGCTTCAGGAGACTTCCGTGGCATTCGTGGCTCGAGCTTTGCAGCCTCTTAATCTAAACCGTGTCTATTATTTGTAAACCAGCGTTCCGCGAGCGTCGCAGTTAGTAGCCTCATCAATGTCCGAGGGGACGCTGATGGCGATTAACTCCTGACAGCGTTAATAAATGACAGTCCCGATATATCTTGCGGGCAATCTTTAAAATTCGCACGGCCGTTCTTAGCCTTTTTAATTATTTCGCTTTCCGTATAATAAACGCTCACCGGCGGAGGAGCAAATTTTTCGAGCACACGCACGCTCTCGCGAGATTTATCTTGCGTAATGGAAGGCCTGTCGTGGATTTTTCTCCTCGGAGCAAACAAACGGCTACTTGTAAATCCATTTGCTCATGGGCGAGACCTCGAATTAACGTCCCGAAGGAACAACCGAGAAAGCACCTCTTTCGTTCCTCGTTTTGCTCCATTCTTGCAGCGTGTTTCCGTCGATAATGGTACGGCAAAAATAATTGGAGGTTCGCCTTTTAAACGCCGTGTAAGACCGTCGATGAAAATATCGCCATGTTAAATACGCCGGGCTTTACGATGCCTCTATCGTGCTCGCTCGGTCCTGCCGATACTTCCAATTATTTCGTACGGTATATTTTGCTCGATCGAAAATAGCGATGCGTTGCCTGCTCGCTTTCATCGCGCTCGATGAAAGCGGACGGGCAACGCATGCTTCATCCGCTCCCGAGTGCTATATTCAGAAACGAACCGCGAGTTTTTCTTTCGTGTTCCGGATTGATTCGATCGCGTTGCACCCTCCTCTGCTTCGCGTAAAACCTCCCATCGTCTTGCCTAACCCTCGCTTTCGTTTCATGGAAACGCTGCAATTATGACTCGCGTTTGCGGTTCCGCACGAGGCAGAACGCGGGGAGAACGTTCGGTCAGCGACAAAATGCACGCGAGAGATTCGCCTCGCTTTCGAAACTCGCCGGAGAAATTATGTTTGCGTAATTAATTGACGGGGCGTACTCGTTCCGCAACAAATTTCATCGGGAGCACTTTTGTTTGCTGAAAAATTGAAAGCAGCTCCGAGCGAGGCGCTCGTCCTTTTGCGCCGCGAGTTATGCCGGAAGATGCTACGAAATAGAATTTCATCGTCGGCCGAGCAGCGTTTGTTAATAACGTTTCGTCGTAACTAGAGAGCGGCTGCATTGTTGAAAAAGTGCTTCCCGATATTCGAACTTGCTCTCCTGAGCGAGCTTTAAATTGTTTAATACCGTCCATTAAACGCGAGGTCTGACACAGTTTTCAACGAACGCTTTGTTTCCGTATACGCAGTTTTTTCCAGCGAATATATCGCAGCGCGCGGTAGTTTATCT